TCTTCAAGAAGAAGGAGCTGAAGTTCTCAGTGTTGCTCTCCATAAGTTCGGACCTCGGGCCTTCTACGGAATCAACTCCCAGGTAATTTAATTTCTTATATTAATCAATCTATTATATGTAACTACTAATTTTCTTGATTATTATAATTAACACTTTCTGTATATAGTTTTTCAATTGAGAGCTTTGGTTTTTAGCCCCATGCATGCAGGTAATTTCATGCGTGCACGTGCACTTTAATGGTTTGTCAAAGGAAGTTGGCTATATATTCTTGAATTTCTTGATCCCATATATATACTCTTAGCATAATATAAAGCATTATGTTATAAATATTTATATATATTATATTTTTTCAGGCTTTCAGTCCTCGAGTTGGTATTGCAACATCAAGAGTCCAGGAAAGGCTGGAAGACCTTATATTTTGCTAGCCAGACAATGAAGATTTTCTGTATAATTAATTACAAGCAGTACACAATGTTTACAAAATAATTTTTTGTACTTAATTAATTTCCATGTATCTTCCACATATGGAGAATGTTGTGTAATATAAGACACGAGCAAGTTATTTTAGTTGTAATTTTTTTTTAATTCATCTTCAGTAATATATATATATATATATATATATATATGCATACTTATTCTAAATTTATAATGTCTCCCCCAATGTCAGTTCAAAGCAAAGCTAAATGAACAAAAACACAAAAATCTATATTAAACATTCTTTAATCGGATATTTACAAGATTATAGATTTGAGTCAGTATTTATGCATTTCATTTGTGCTATCTTTAAAAAAATTAATTATGTGATTTTCTCCAATCAAGATTACTTGTATTGTATTTATTAGTGTGCAAGTTCCACTTAATTACTAAAATAAATAAATTTATATGAACAAAATAAAAAGACTCTTGCAACTATTTGAATAAATTTTAGTAATGTTTAATTAATGTATAATAATAACAGTAATTGAATGTTAATAACATAATATGAGAATGACAATTTCTGTATTGAATGAACATATTCAATTTAATAGATATTTGTTTGAGAGGGCAAGTCAATTAAATTAACTTATTTTGTAACACCCAACCTTTTTTTTTTCTTTTTTATTAATTATTATTGTATGAATATAATTATTATTTATGTAATTTTAATTTGATTTATTTAATTTTAATTTAATTTAATAATAATAATAATAAGGGATAAAAAAATGGTTAGTGATTTAATTGAAAACAATTTTGAAAAAAATGGGTGAAAATTTAGGTTCTTGAGGTATTTTTGAAAGAAAAATCAGAAATCAGGAGTCAAAATATAATTTAAAAAAATTAAGCCACATTAGCTGCTCGGTCAGCAGCCCCAACCAATCAGGACGCGCCAGGTGGCAGAGACGCTGACGCGGGAGGCCACGCGGGGGGAGCCACGTGAGCGATCCACGTGCGCGCAATCGAAAGGCTGAGATACGTTCCCGCACGCACGGACGACCCAGATTGAATCACGCACAGACGGCCCAGATTGAATCGCGATGAACAACTCAGATTCACTCTCTATTTAATCGCGATCGGACGGTTCAGATTAAAAGCGATTGACGGTCCAGATCAAAAGCAGATGGGTATAAATAACCTCATTCGCACTCAAACCCTAACCCTAGCCGCCAGAGCCCCTTGCCGGAGAAGATAGCCCAGCCTCCGGGGAGTGGACCGCTGCCACCCGCCGCCGCACTGGAGTAATTTCTGGCCGCCAAACGAGGTAAAAAAATTATACCCTCTGCTTAGAATTTGATTCCAAACCCACTCATGGCCAAATTGGAGTGAAAGAGCTGACCAATTGGCCAGAAAATGTCGTCGAAGCTCAGCGGCGCCGCCGCGGGGTATTTCAATTTTTACCTCCAATGAAGCCCTTCCTGATTCCTGTTTGATATATTTTTCCACCGTTGTGATCACCGTTTCCTCCTCTACAGGTTAACCGGAGTAAAACACCCAATCACAACGTGAACCGGAGGATCCGCCGCACCGGAGAGGCACACCGCCGATAAGTTTCGGTTTTCTACATTTTTCGGCCCACCGAGGGCCCTAAGTGTGTTTTCTCACAGGAACCGATGCAAGTTTGGCTGATTTCGGCCGAAAATGACCGAAAACAACCAACCCGAGGTAGATCACCGTCATGGACGGCGGCGCCACGGCGGAGCCACCATGCCGAAATTTCAAAATTGACCGAGTAAGCCCTGGTTCTGATTTTTAGGTTATTTGGGACATGTGTAGATACCGTAAGCGCGTTTCAGTTCCCGAGAAAAAATTCAGGGAACCCAGAGACCGTCCATAAGCGAAGTAATAATCTAGTTTTCGGCGTCGAATCAAGTAAGAACCCCTCACCCTATTTCCTATCATATATTGAAGCTTGAATAAATGATAATACTGTATTTTGTACAAATTAAATAGATATGCATAATTAATTATGGTTGCTAATGGAATCCGAACCGGACATTATTCTCTGTCGATTCCTGCTTGATTTATTTTACAGTTTAAATGTATTATGCTATCTGGTCTATCTATTTTATGGTTTTAAATACATGTGTTACTGTCTTACTTGACCATTGTGTGATTTTAGAATTTAAGATATGATTGTATTACTGAGTGCATGTTTATTATTTATGTGATTATGTTCAACTTGGTAACGGAGAAAAAGAAAAACGGATAAGGTGACAATCTCACTAGATATCCTGGGGGATGGTGGACGGACCGGTTTCATAAAAAATCCTACCGTGAACGTCGTCTCATACCGGACAGGATATGAAGACTTAGTCATTTGGCGCTCATGCCGAACAGGGTATGGGGAGGAGGGCCCGCTTCACCCTCATACCGGACGGGGCATTGAGGTTTAATATCTTAGCGCTCATACCGGATGGGGTATGGGGACGGCCCTAGAATTAAGACTGTTAAGATGAATGGTTCACGTGTAGCGGGGATACCCCTATGGATCTCCATGGATATTAGTAGGTTGGTGAAAACGAGAAACGATAATAATTAGTTATTGTTAATGAATACGGAATTATGATATGTTTTATGTTACTGATTATACATGAAATTATGATATGTATGATGTTATTGTCTTTATAGGTTGTTTTCACAGGTTCTCCAAGGGTAAAAAAAAAGGTAAATAGTTTTATTTTAAATAAATGTATTGCTTTAAAATTTGTGCTCCATTGGTTGTTTTTGGTTTTTTACCAACATTTACTTCTATGACGGTGATATAGTGTGATGTTCTTACTAGACTAGTATACCTTATTCCTTATTTAACTATTTCAGATTAGGAGGACCTGGTTCCCGAGCCTGATCCACAAGAAGACAGCGAGTAGATGTTAGATGTTTTATAGTTTCCTTTATTTTTCTCATTTCTCATATTTCTTTTAGAGAACTTATTATGTGATATTGTTTAGTACTTTTAAGTTATTGTGTAAGGGATGTTAATCTTAATTTTTTATTTCGCTTCCGCACTCAGATTATTATATGTGTTTTTTTTTTTAAATTTCTGGAGCCGTTACATATTTACTCTAATACAAGAATTTATTATTTATTAATTTACATTTAAATAGAAAAATAAATGGCATTAAATATAGTAATTTAACTCTTTTACTTCTAAAAGAAAATTAGTTTCTGTTAATATATAAATTCATCAATTATATTATGTTAAAATAATGATTTGTTCAGAGTTTATTAGATTTTGAAAATTTGTATACTCTTAAGGTCACTTTCAACAAAATGTCTAGAAGAATAAGATCTATGGCTTAATTGAAAAAACATACTCTACAAATGTTTATAAGAAAAATTAATATATATATATATATATCCTTTTTGACCATATATATAATATTTTTGCCTGAACTGAATGTATATATTTTATTAAAATAATAATACAAATACAGTCTTTCAATTAAAATACATATTTATAACCTTAACCATGTTTTTACAATAATTATTATGTTTTTAAGAAATTCAAAGGAAAAAAAAACCATAACTTATAAATTAATCAAATATTTTAAGGTTAATTGTCTGACTTTTATTTATTATTATACAGTTTAGTATACATTAAATCAGACATTTCCATTGCCATGGATACGTCCTCTCACGTCTTAATCACGATTCAAACTTCAAAAGCAGCCGCCGCGTCCGATTCCTCGTTCACACCATGGCTTTGGCTTTCTTAGGATAGTTAGTTTTCTTTCCCTGTCTAATAAATTCAAACACTAACTCAATTTTCTTCGAAAGAAAATAAATATTACGTTTTTTATATCTTATATCATTATCAATTTAAATTCAAATAATATTATATTTTTATTCAAATTTTTTAAGTGATGATAATGATTTGAAGGGTCAGTTGACAAATAACAATTCATTTACCATGAATAATATATACATTTAATTATACTAATTTATTATATAATAATATATACATTTAATTAATGTATATATATGAAATTCATATATTTTAAACCAAATTTCATACTCTTCTAAATAATAACCTATTGAGCCCGTTCCGAAGCCCAGCATTTTACAGCAAGTACACGACCTTCAGCTCTAAATACGACGTCACTTTAATGCAGGCTATCTAAATTTAAAGCCCAAGCACACCAAAAGCCACACGACCTACCTACCAGGGCTATTCACTAGTAATATTCGTTTCTGTTCACAATTCAAAATTATTACGACGCTGACGCCCCAACAATCGACCGTTGGCATAACGTTCTAAAAATCTAAAATTTTTTAAAAATTAACCTTACCGTTGCTATCAAATCATCTCTTCTGTCCTCTACAACGGCCCTGTAACACATCGTAGAATTCAATCAAACCTTCTTCTGCTATAACTCTTGATTCCCTCAGTTTTCTTCCCTTGAATCCTTCTTCTTCTTCTTCTTCTTCTTCTTCTATCTCTTTTCCCCTGAAGATTCCTCTGTTTCGTTCTTTGCTTGAATTCTTCCGGTCTTTCTTGATTTCCTTGTGTATTGCGTGAACTAGATTCTTGTGCCTGATTAGAAAATGGCAGCATTGGCTCCTGGGATTTTGTTGAAGCTCCTCAACGGAATGAACACGGGACTCAAGCCGACGAGCGAGCACCGGAGTTCCCTCTTACAGGTGACGGATATCGTACCCGCGGATCTTGACGAGAAGAACCTCTGGCCTAAGCACGGATTTTACATCAAGGTCTCAGATTCTTCCCATTCTATATATGTCAGTTTACCTTCTGATCAAGACGATGTCGTTCTCAGCAACAAAATGCAGCTAGGCCAATTCATCTACGTAGACAGATTGGAGCCGGGGTCTCCTGTTCCTGTCATCAAAGGGGCAAAGCCACTTCCGGGGCGGCATCCATTAGTGGGCACGCCAGAGCCGTTAATGGGTCTTAGAAAAAAGGGAGAGAAGATTGAGCAAGAACCCAATTCAAAACCCAGGCGAGGATCTTGGGGTCAAAATGGCGGTGATGGTGTTTCTTCTCCGTTGGTTTTAAAGCCTGTGCCTTTGGATTTTGATCAGTGCACACCTATGAAAGAAAGGCCTAGTTGTTCCAAAACAATGTCGCCCATGATAAGACGATTAACGGCTAAGGATGGGAATGGAGGAGGTATGGGCGTTAGGTGTTCTTTTGGTGGGGGGCTTTTGGCTAAAATGGTGGAGACGAAGGGAGAGAGTCCTGCTTTGCTTAGGAAGAGCTGTGTTGCTCCTTCATCTTCCAAATTTCCAAGGAGCAAAAGCGTCTGCGAACGAGAACCAAGGATGGCTTCTAGTCCCTTCAACTCCGCTGTAGGTACATTGTGCTTCTTTGCCAGTTTTTAATCTAAATAAGCCACCTCTGTTTCTGCATTTAGAGATAAGCAGAAAGATTTGCTCAAGTTAATGTTTTTAAGCATCATTGATCAATTTGGTTGCAATTTCTGGGGCTTAAATCCAAGACCATATCTTGTTTTAGCTGAAATCACTTGAACTTTCGATTTTTGATGGAGGATTTTTGTTTCTTGTTACAGGAAAAGACAAGTCCAACTCCACAACCGAGTTCACGAAATTCAAGAGCTATTGTAGCTCCACTCAATGTGGATGGAGGAGCTCCACACAGCTCCTCTGCTTCAAGTGTGACTTTGCAGCCGCAATCACAGACTGGTAATCCTGCTTTTGATGATTCTACCAGCCTGCCAATGCATTTACCAGGAAGACTTGGCATGCTGGGCAAGGTACATACATATTCAAGGAGCCCAATCCGGTTCTTTTAACCAATTCTCATTATCAACCTTTCTGATAACTTTCTCTGCTTCAACAGGAAGCCGTGCAACAGAGAGAAACAGCTCAAAAAATTGCTCTTCAAGCGCTAAGAGATGCCTCAGCTACTGAATCTTTAGTCCGCTCCCTCAAGTACATAAACCTCTCCGATCACTTCATCATTTTTATTTATCTAGTTATTCAATCTTTGGATGGCAGTAGCATTAATTGAGAGATTATTCTTTTTGTGGCAGGGCATTTGCTAACTTGAGCAAATCGGCAAAAGCTGATTCACCAGCACCATGTTTTGAGCAGTTCTTGGAATTTCATCACCAAATTATGCAAACAGTGAGCGGCATGGCGTCTGTTCAAGCAGCTACTGAAATGACAAGGAACCCAAAAGCAGAACATAAACAGTTATCCGAAGAAGAACACTCCTCAATCTTAAATGAAGTTATTCACAACAACGGCTCTGAATCCAAATCCTCCTCCAAAGGTCGATCAGCATTGTACAAATCCATGGCGTCCTTTCCCGAGAAAAGTGAGCAGAAGCCAAGTTTTGGGAAGTTGCTAAGGTCAAGTACGAAGGAGAGAAGAGCATCATCCACCACCACCACCACCACAACCACTCCACTGGGGAAACTTTCCCTTGAAACTGTTGCTGAGAATGATGAAAATAAGAAACCAGTTTATTCTGGGTGCAGTTTAAGCAACGCAATCAAACTGGGTAAGCAGATCGAAAGAGAAGCAGGAAAGTGGTTTATGGCGTTCATAGAGAAGGGATTAGAAAAAGGGATGAAGAAAGCAAAAGGTGTGGGAGATGAGGATGTGAAGAAAGTTCCTCAGTCTCTGATTCTCAAGGTTATAAACTGGGTGGAGGTAGAACAGAGTGATGGTAGCAAGAGGGAGATTCATCCCAAAGCAGCACAGATAGCCAGGAAATTAAGGATAAAAATGAAGAACCCCTAGTGTTTGACTAGCTTTTTTATTTTTCAAGAAGAGTGATGCATTGTTTAGTTCCAATAATTTGGAACGCTTTTAATTCTTTGTTTGTTAAGAACACGTATCGATAAGAACGATGTATGCCGCCAAGCAGCAGCCTATTATTATACATATATATCGCTATATTGCCCTGCATCATTTCAGTTAGTTTTAATTCTTTTAGAATTATTATATACTGAACTCACTTCTCCGCGGATTTCTCTGTTTGACTATAAATTATTATGGTTAATGTTTATTCTCACACATGTATACGTATGTATTATTATGAACTAGTTAATGATGCCTAAACATTACGACTGGATTATTTATTTGGTAGTGATTTGATGGATTTAAGTTAATAATATCTGTTAAATATATTAATAGAGTTGGCAGTGATTAATTATAATGCGTGATTTAATGGATATATAAGCTAATAGGATTAGCGGTAATCAAATGGACTAAATTTCATTGTAGGATTGGGGATATTAAATTGAATTTTGTTAAAAAATTATTATAATTCTATAAAAAAATATCTCAATTAATTTTTTTTAATTAAAATAATTACAATTAAATAATAATTGAACTAATTTTTTAATTAAGAAAAAAAAAAAGATAGAAGGGTTTGACTATTTCAGTTTGCTACTTGGTTACTAGGTATAAAGATACAGTTTATTATGGAACGACGTCGTACACTATGCAGGTTTAAACCCCATTCAGCCCATTTCTCCCGGTGAAAATCTGGAAGACGAGGATGGCTCAGATAGGGTGTATGTGGATGAGGAGGGTGCGAGGAGGAGTAGGAACAAACTCCATCTTAACAGTAAAGCCGTCAATGGCCTTCTTGTCTCCTCCCACCCTTCCATGTCATCATCTTCATCAATCATTCACTTCCTTCCCCTCTCTTAAACCACCGAATCTCATTTCCTTCGTCTCTTCTAATCGACGCTTATCTTCAGTTCCATGCCTTTCTAATTCTTCTTCTTCTTCTTCCTCTATTCCTCTCCCTCTTCTCGACGATGATTCCTTGGATTTAGGTATGTTGATACATAATTTACATGGATAACGTTATATCAATTAAGATTAGTTTTGTCATACATACAATTCTACATTGCAGGAATTGGAGAGAGAGATGAAAATCCAAAAAAAAGCTCCAAGGTGCTCTTGAAAGGAATGAGTTACGCCCAACTCCAAGTTTGTTTCAGCACTCTCATCTTCATTTTTCTATTTTTACTGCCTTTATTTCTCTGCTACTAATTATTGGTTACCTTATATCAGGAATGGGTACAATCCCATGGATACAGACCGGGACAGGCTTTGATGCTATGGAAGCGTCTATATGGGAACAATATTTGGGCACATAGTATCGATGAACTAGAAGGTTGTCTGTTCGTTTTAATCAATACCCCTATTAAATATCTTGGTTACTTTTGGCTTTACTAATCTGCTCTGAGTAAATTGATTTACCATGCTGAGTTTCGGTCTTTACTTCCTCAATCAATCCCTTTATGTAGCTAGATTGGTGAGTTTAATTAGTGACATATTTTCTTATTGGGTAGGCTTGAACAAAGATTTCAAGAAGATGTTGAGTGAACATGCTGAGTTCAAAGCATTATCTTTAAAAAATATTCTTACCGCAGCTGATGGGACTAGGAAGGTGAACATGATCGTTGTGAATTAAGTTATCTGCAACTTAAGACAATTATTTCCAATGTTTTGTTCTAAGTTGTGCTTTACTGGGGCTAGCTCCTTTTGTTAGTGTGTGGATCTTCTCATTGATTTTGGAACTCACAGGAGGTTGCAGATTTTGTTCTTGTTGGATGATGGTCTGGTAATAGAAACAGTCGTCATTCCCTGCAAAAGGGGCAGGACAACTGTTTGTGTTTCAAGTCAAGTGGGCTGTGCCATGAATTGCCAGTTCTGCTACACCGGCAGGCAAGCATTTTAGACTGATTCATTTAATCTTGGAAGTCTTGTGTTTATTTACTAATAGATTATATTTATCTTTTTGGTTATTAACTCTCTTTTAACTATAAATAACATTTGTTGCAGGATGGGCTTGAGGAGACATCTTACAGCAGCAGAGATAATAGAGCAGGCGGTGTTTGCACGACGCTTGCTCTCACGTGAAGTTGGCTTCATAACGAATGTAGTATTTATGGTAGGTACCTTCCGATGCCACGTTTTAACCTAAGGCTAAAGTAGTGCTAAGATGGAAAATTATATGAGGCTTTAAGAAGATATAGCTACTTTGTAGTTGAAGATGAGTAGAAGAGTTCTCCATGTCTGTGTATGCTTAGCTGACTAGTTGCACAGTAAATTTGTAAATGTAATATTTTTAGTAAACATGCAATTTCCAATCATTATAATGTCAATATATTTGCAGGGAATGGGAGAACCACTGCACAACATTGATAACGTCATTAAGGCTGCTGATATATTGGTGCATGAGCAAGGCCTTCATTTCAGTCCTCGCAAGGTCACTGTTTCTACAAGTGGTCTGGTTCCGCAGTTAAAGCATTTTCTCCATGAATCTAATTGTGCTCTAGCTGTTAGTTTGAATGCTACCACTGATGAGGTACTTGATATCTAAGTTACCTACACAAATAAACTTCATATATTTGGGGAAGACTAACCTGTATGCTAAAAATAACCATGCAGGTCAGAAATTGGATAATGCCAATAATAGGAAGTATAA